ATATATTTAAAGGATTCCCCAGAAGCATAATACATGTACACGTGTTGATGTTGATAAGGTTGAGGGGTTTGAAATGGGAAAGTACTGAAGGAAACATTGACTGTCAACAGCAGTCCTGTAACCAGGGACTAGCTTATGGACAGCGATTGTCTACCACCACTAAGTAATTAGTTAGAGTGTAGCTGTCCTACAAACACCTTGGTCCTTGTGGCTGTGGAGAATTATAATTTGGGCTGCGTTTACACGGAGACGAAATGAAACGAAACGAAACGAAACGGAACGAAAACGGGCTGGCCTCGAATCGTTTTCAAACCATTTACACGAGAACGGCAATTCGTTTTGAACCGTTTACACGAAAACAGAAAACGGGCGATCAGGCTGGAGTTAGCACGTGCTGGCTTGGCGCAGGGGCGGGAAGTAACACGTTAGTTGGAGTTGGTACGTGCTGGTGGTCGCAAGGATTGGGTATTTCCCGCGAAATATACTCCAGCACGGAATGGTTTCCATGACCGCGCTCCGTTTCCAATCGTTTTCACTGTTTTCACCGTTTACACGAGAACGAAAACGTTTTGAAAACGTTTCAAAACACTTTGAAGTGCGTTTCCATTTCGTTCCGTTTAGGTATCGTTTTCGGGCGTTGTCGTGTAAACGATAGTAGTAAACGCAATGATTTCGTTTCGTTTAGGTCGTATTTCGTTGTCGTGTAAACGCACCCTTGATGTTGGGACCGAACCGATCATGTTTGACTTAGGGTGCGGAGAATCACATACTACTTGCGCATCATCCCGTTTTCCTCTCAGCCGAATTTTTTACGCTGCTGTGCTGTTGCCACACGAATATTGGTACTTGTATTGGCAGTACTTGTATTGGCAGTACTTGTATTGGCAGTATTGCTTTGCCACAAGACCCATGTACTAATGGCACCTATGCATAAAACATGGCGGCCAGGTCGCCATCGCGACTTCGCACCTTTGTGCGGGGCAACTTGCTCGACGCGAGGCTCTCCTTTGTTTTCAGTCGTTGCAGTGGAAGACAGTTTCGATATTAGTTGACAGGAAGATGGCAGTCAGTCAGGATTTTTCCCAGCTCACCTTGAACCTTCTGAAGGTGAAGTGTGGAGAGTATGGTCTCAAGAAGTCGGGAAAGAAAGCCGATCTAGTTGCGAGGTGAGTTGTTTTCTTCCCACAACAAAATCTTATTTTTTTGAAATTATTTGTGAATCTGAGTTTGTTATTTATCTGCTCGTGTCGTTTACAGACTTGCTCAGCATTTCTCTGAAGGCGACGGTGATGGCAAGGAAGGGCCACCTCCGCCAGCTGCAGCGCTTGCTGTTATTCCCCACGACCCTCTGGATTTTCCTGTTACTGGGTGGCAGCCGATTAAATCTGCGAGTGGAAGGCTACTCTCCCTGTCGTTCTCCATGCAAACTATGGTTTCTTATTTCGTGGACACTATGACCAGCGATGGACCTGCCAAGAATTTCAAAGCGCTTGCTGCCACTGATAGCAAGTCAATTCGTCTGTATCGAGCAGGTTATGTCCAGAAAATCGAACTGATGAAGGCCAACAGCCGTGTGTACTACCGTGCCCGCTGTCAGCCTGAAATGAAGACCAAAGCTGACTACAAACTTCGGCTCGTTGCTCAGTGTGACTCAGGATCTGCCACCAGTGTTGTTGGTGCTCAGTGCACTTGTCCTGCTGGCAAGGGTGTTACTGCCAGTTGCAAGCATATAGCTGCACTGATGTATGGCTTGTCCGAGTTCACTCTGCTTGGGTTTAGTGACGCTCCGACGTGCACGGACATGCTGCAAAAGTGGAACCAGCCTCCTGCAGGTGCAGGTAAAAAGAGTGAGCCCATGCTGGTTCAAGACATGGAGTGGCGTAGAGGTGGCAGTACCACTGACAAATCTGCGCCAAAGAAACGTAAGCATTCTGCTGCAGAAGTACTTGACCCTCGTGCTGTTGCAAAGCGGATGGACTTTGCCCGGCGTGTGGAGGAATACGCCAACTCAACCATTCACTCCAACTCCATCCACCTAGCATTGCCTCTTGTTGCTGGTAGCTCAGGATTTGCTGCTAAGCAGAAGGAGGACAGGTTGCACAGAGCCCAAGCGCAGAAAAAGGAGAGACTGGCTAGGGCAGGGGAACAGAAGGACAAGTGGCAGGTTGAGCACAGCAGATCAGGTGATGTGACACCTGTGCCATCTGACTGCGAGTGGCTAACTGAGGACAAGCAGATGCTGTGGTACGAGTCCAATGTCATACTTACTTGTGAAGAAGCCAATGCCCTGCAAGAAGCCACTGCATCCCAAACAACAAGTGAACTCTGGAGGAATGAACGAAAGAAGCGTATTACAGCTTCCATTGCCCATACTGTAGCTCATCGACGACCTCAGACTGACCCGTCATCCCTCATAAAAACTATCATTGATCGGCCGGCGTTCACCACTCCTGCAACCAGATGGGGGATTGATCATGAAGAAGAGGCACGATGTGCCTACGTAGCCCACCAAGCCAAGTCTGGCAAGCTGATAGATGTTGTTGCATGTGGCTTATTTGTGCATGCTGATGAATGCTGGTTTGGTGCCAGTCCCGATGGCATTGTTAGGGATGGTGATACATCACTTTTGCTCGAGATTAAATGCCCGTTTGTTGCTAGAGACCAAAGTCTAGCAGAGGTAGCTGGGTCTACTGCATCATTTTGTTTGTCCAACAAGGATGGTGTGCTTTCTCTCAAAACAACACATGCCTACTATACACAAGTGCAAATGCAGCTCTTTGCTGCAGGCCTTCAATTTTGTGACTTTGTAGTGTGGTCTCCCTGCAATGATCTTTTTGTTGAGCGCATTTCATTTTGTGAAGTGCATGTCAAGAAAACTCTCGCAGCTTGCCGAACATTTTATTTTGATCATGTTCTCCCGAAACTGGCTCTGTGATCAAGTTTCTTGGTAATAGATATATTCCTCGTCATCTGAGATGACCATTGCTCACTTTGCTCCAGTTCCTGTAGTCTTGACTGTTTACATTCTTCCCTGATTTGTGGCAATCTTTTCTTCTGTAAGTGTGTCTGAACTGTTCTATACGCTGCACTCTATGTTCTTTATTATAGCTTTTTCTGTTCTGCCCTGTTCTGTAGCTCCTTCTTGATATAAACGCCGTGATTAGATGGTGGATAGTTCCATCAGCTACCGGCTTCCTGCATTTGTACATGATTAGGTAGTGTTGTATACATGTACCCAAGACAGTGGAACTCTGCTGTAAACAGTGCGTTATAGTAAATTATACTGCCATTACTGGTAACCACTACAAAAAACGGCACGTACAACTGGTTTACAATAGCTCGCCATTCCGTGTTACAACGGAGTTCAAAAAGGCATGAACGTTACATGAGTATTCGTATTTACTTCAAAGTAAGCGGCACTTGCAGCAGTCACAGGCCACATTTCCTACCTGGTGAACAGCACAAACAGACAAATAGGAGCATCACTACTTCTACTTCGAAGTACGAAGTCCTGAGTGAAATAAGCATCATTGTGTAGGGGCACCATTACTCACAACATAACACAAAGAAAAGAGGGGAAGAAAATACCGAGGCCACGTAGGAATATCGGCATGCGCAAAAAGCTTTCAACAGAGCGGCCTGGTCATAAAGCAAGAATTACATAGACGCCCATCTTCATCATCATTCTGACACATATGGTGGTAGCGTGAGTTACAAGACCTACAAACTCTAAGAAGTGGGCCATCTGAGCGCTTGCAAAACAAACATACGGGAGTGGTCACATAGGCAGCAGCGGCTACAGAAGAAGATGGCACGCTGATAGCAGCAGCAGTAGCAGCTACAGGAGATGGCACGTTCGTAGCAGCAGAAGTAGCAGCTACAGCAGATGACAACTTGGTAGCAGCGGAAGCAGCAGCAGAAGCAGTAATGGCAGGTGAAAGAAATGTGCCAGCTGAAACAGCCACTGCAGAAATGTTTGCATCTGGTGATATCTGGGCAACTTCTGCAGCAGAGGAAAAGTGTGCAGACTGTGTCGATGGCTTACTAACAGGCGGAGGTACCAGGGGCTCCATGTAGTTAGTGAGGAATGCACACACAAATATGATCTGCTCAGCCAAAGGGCACAACACGGAAGATAAGAAGTGAGTTATCCTGAAGTTCTTGATCCTTTCCATTGCTCTCTCCACATGAATACGCACGCTAGCAATACGCCGAGTTTCGATCACCTCTTCTTCATCAAGCTGATCTCGAGAACCAAGAAACGGGGGTATGTTGAGATCGACACCCTCCGGTAGCAGATCGGCAATGTCGAAACCACGGTCGGCCATGATGGCATCACCCTTCTCCATCAACTTCATTAGCCCACTTCGCTTTGTCAGTTTCTTATCAGAAATGCGCCCGCCATAAAGAGGAGACAGAAACGATATTGCACCGGTAGGTGTCACACCAACTAACAGTTTGAAAGTGTTCCTGTTTTTGTAATTCGACCAGGTGGCTGCTTGTACAGTTGGGTTGGCTGGCTTCTCAATGGGAAACTCTGTTGCGTCAATAATTACCCGGGTGCGTGGGTACTTGTCTTTGAAGACGTCGGGCATGTAGCGATCAATCAGAGCCCGGCTCGGCCAAATGTCCACTTCTTTCATAGAGAAGTACATGCAACGAATGTACGTTGAAAATATTCGGGACACCGTGGATTGATCTATTCCGAATCGCAG